CCTTATGGAGTACTAGATTGACATTTTTTAACACAAAATTTTTATATGTAGCTGGTCACACAATGTGGCCGAGGTTACTCGAGTTAATCGGTCAGTGGTTACTTGAGGGGTTTGTTTATGAGTTACTCGATCAACGGTTGCTTGAAAAGTTAAGGGTCTGTTCTTTTCAGATTATTTTCAGTTCAGTTCATTTCATTTCAATTCCAATCAGTTTTATTCAGTTCTTAATTTTCTTCTCCAAAATATTCAATTCAGCTCCAATAAGTTCAGTTCAGTTGAGTTCATCTCAATTCAGTCAATCAGAACAGACTCTTACTCGACCAGGAGTAATTCAATCACATGGTGTGACCATCGATCAGGGGTAATTCAATCACATGATGTGACCAGGCACATAAAAAAAAAAAAAAAAAAAAAAAAAAAAAAAAAAAAAAAACCTTTTTTGACACAGTGTTATGTACTTTGTCTTTAATAAGACTTGGAAACAGTAATAGTAATTTTATTTAATGCACTTGACTATGCTAATTTGTCAGGACATCAACTGTCCTGATTATCCATTTTGTTTCATCATGAATCATGGATCAAATTTGAATTGAGATGGCCAAAAAATTAATTCCAAGTTGTGGGGGTGTTGTAGTAATGGGATGTATGTACATCTGTTATCAATAGTACATGAATTCGGTTAACTATAAGCATTTAATGGTATTTCTGGTTATTGTACTGTTAGTCCTGTGGGGTTTCAGATTTGTTTCGTTATGGACATTTTTGGTAGCTATAAAGGGATCATTTATTATCTTTTTGGTTTGGTTTTCGATTTTTCAGTTGTTAGATTTTGTAATTAACGTGATTAGTTTAAGTGTAATTAATGTTATAATTATTACTCCGTATATACATACCTTTGCAAAACGAACTTGTAGATTTAATAATCAGTAGACTTTAGTTGGCATATATGTTTAATACTTCTTACTACGTAGATTAAAGTTCTAATTATTTACGTTAAGTAGTCATAATAAGCTCATGATGAATTAGTTTAATAAAGGAACGGATGAAGGATATACAAGTTCAAACCTGGCCTCACCTTAAAAAGTTATACAAAGTAAAAAAGAGTTGGAAGAAAATTTGATTAGAATTATGATTGCATACAAAATTATTCAAAATTTGGCATAACATAACTAATTATTTAAGCATCCAAAAAATTTCATTGGTCAACCAAAATAATTAATGTTCAACGTATAAAATGTTAAACTACGAGTATAACTTGAACGAAAAAACTTTACTGATAGATACTCCCTCTGTCCCAAAAGGAACGACTCATTTGGCCAAAACTTTGTCCCAAAAAGAATGACCCATTTGCATTAAAACACCACCAATTTGCAACAATATTTGTGCAAAATTAGCTTTCCCATATAAAAATTTCATTTTCCATGTTATTTTATTAATTTCTCTCTCTATTTTTTTACAAACCCCATGTAAATTTATCTTTCCAATATATTTTTACTTCTTTTTACTTAACTTCCTTAATTCCCGCATAATCAACCTAAATGGGTCGTTCTTTTTGGGATGAAAGGAGTATTATTTTGAAGATTTCCGTAGTGTTTGTTATTAGTCAACAAAAGTCTTCCAATAAATATCAGTTTGAAGATTTGTATAATGTTCTTGATTTTATATTCAAACTAAATGGTAGCTACCTACAACATTTTCTAGAGGAAAAAAAAAAAAAAAAAACACTATGTGGACATATTCTTCCATGCATGATTTTGGCATTGATGGCATGATTGATTGACATCCATTAATACTTGTATTATTTGAATTCTTATATACCCTAAGGGTTCGTTAGCAAGATATAATCATTCTAAAATATTGTATATAATAATAGATATTTATAAAAATATATATTGAGTGTCTTTATTTTTCATTATTTATGAATCATCAAAATATTAGTTAAAATACGAGGCATGATGGACCACTACCAGGTATGGACTCCTTTGGTCCATACCTAGGGGCAAAAATGTACTTTCAAATAGATATTTAGACAATAATTATTTTGTTACCACTTACCAGCTGTAAAAAAATACTCTCTCTCCTCTTTCCCCCTCTCTCTCCTCTTTCTCCACCGGAATTCTCACCGGAAACCTTTTTTTTTTTTAAAAAAAAAAATCTCCTCTTTTCCTTTGTAATTCGAAGACCTCAAGGCTAGTTTGTATTTCGACCAGAATTTCATCGGAATCTCAATTTGAAAACCTTTAAGTGAGAGGAGAGAGAAATCACCATTACCATCATCATCTTCGTCTTCATCAACAACAATGTCGGTGCTCGGTGGGTTACTACATCGTCCTCACCACCACCACTATCGAATATGTAATAATAATATCCAGTGCTACAATAACAGTATAAAATCATATGATAACAGTATATAAATCAACCATAGTAGTATAAAAATTAATAACAACAATATCCCAAAAAGTATACAAAACAATTCAACAATAACGGTATACAAATAAAAATTAATAGTATACAAAATAAAATAACAGTATACATGTTAATGATAACGGAGCACCGACAAACAATTAATGTCGTCATCTTCAACTCCTTCACATCCAAATTGTTTCGAACTTCGACAACACCAAACAAAGAACTCACCGTTTTTCATGGAAAAAGTCGTAAATTTGCACACCAATGGTGAATTCATCGTCTCTCGTGACCAAAGTAACAAGATGTTTAAAAACCTTGAAAATCCTTCTCCGCCCTCCAATTATACTACCTTTAATCAACCACAAAATTTGCTGTTGCGGTCCAGCGCCGATCGTTTTTTCACGGGAAACAACAGCAAAGAGGGGAAAGTAACTTCCCTCTCCTCCTTTTTCTTTTTTACCCACCCCTCATTCTCATTTTACCCCCTATTTTATTTTGCCTTTTTTTAATTCACAAATATTTTTTTTTATTTAGGTATTGGACAGGGGGTCCAATACCGGGTAACGGGCAATACTTTCTCTTAAAATACAAGTATAGTGAAAGAATAATGTTAAAGTCAACGAGTTGCAACTTAAAAACAAGATGATTTCAGCTCTGTTCACTTCAGCTTAAAAAAAAAAAATTATTAAGTAAAAATAATTTCAGTTCGATAAAAATAATTTCAGCTCAGTAAAAATAATTTTAGTTCAGTAAAAATAAATCCAATTCAGTAAAATAATTTTAGTTCAATAAAAATCAGTAACTTTAAAGAAGATTCTACCTCCATTTTTTATTAGTTGACACGTTTTGACTTTAACACTATTCACACACTTCCCTTTGACCATATTTTGTGATTTATACGTAATGAAAAATATAGTAATGTGGGATCTTGTTAAACTCGTCACAGTATATATTCTCAAAATATCAACTTTTTAGAACTTCTGCTTATCAATAATTAGAGAAATTAACGATTGAATTTGTGCATTGGCAAACGTGACTAAAGAAACGTGTCAACTAAAAAGAAACAGAGGAAGTATATAACATGGAATCAGTGAAAATAATTTCAGTTTAGTAAAAATAATTTCAGTTTAATAAAAATAAGGTGGAGTCAACGGAGCCGAAGTATAATTTTGACAAAAATTCTCTATATTTTGCAATATAATTTTGGAAAGGGATATATGCAACCCCAAGGGCTGCATATAAGAAGCTAAAAATGGAAAGAAAAGATAATAAATGAAACATTTATTATACCGACTTACTCATAAATTGTCGATAAATTCCCAACTTAATACAAAAAAAATGAAGTATATTAAATGCTTATGTGCAGGCTGCATATAGGATTACCCTATAATTTTTACAAAAAATTAAAATTCTTTGGCTATTCTTAGTTTTAAAAGGTTAATAGTACTCCGTATTTTGTAAATACTCATCAAAGTTAGTAAAGTTTCACCTTCTAATGCCTTGATTGGTTGGCTAAATATTTTGTGGGAAGTCAAAATTCCCATAAATTTCGTTTTCACCCTCTTGTTTGGTTGACGTAAAAAAGTGAAAATGGGGGCAATGAAAATTTATAGGAATTTTCACTTCCCACAAAACATGGGAATTCACTTACCTTACGGTCCCCCCTTGATAAGTTGAAATTCCCAAGGGAATTTACTTCCTCCATTCTTAACCAAATAAATTTGTTGAATTCTCATAATTTTAATGATGGAATTTATTTTCCACAAATTGAAATTTCATGGGAAATTACACTTCCTTAATGAACCAAACTACCCCTAAAAGAAAATTATTGTAGTCTTGAATACTTGATGAATAGAAGAAAGTCAATAAAAGGAAGCATAAAAAACCTATTCGTAAACATTTTAAACATTTCCAAAACCGAGTGCGAACATAATTGACTAGTTGACTCCAATCAAATAATTAAGGTACGAGTAATACACATTCCAACAAAAAAATAAAATAATTTTTTTTAAAAAAAAAAAATTAGAAAAAAACATTTGAACGCGGGAGTATTACGGAGTAGGTAATTACTAAATACTCCGTAGCAACTCATTTAAGACAACAGATCTGAAAAAATGGAATTAAAAATTATATTGTCTCTATTCCTCTAAGTTTGCATTATTTTATTTTGAGAGTCAAACTGTAATTTCTAATTTTAAACACAGTCATAAAATATGAATTGATTTGACACGATACATTCTATTATAACATTAGACGTTAATTCCTAGCTCATTCAATAACCGGACCCGATTTCAAACCCGGTTTATTAAGAGAGAACCCGAACTTAACTCGACTTGAACCAAATATCCCAAAACATACCCGATTTGACCCATTTGTCATAATTTGTAGTGATTCTAGCAATCCAAACCATTTGAACCAAACGACCCAATTAACCCAAAATTTAACATGAACTCGACCCGTTAATCCGAATTAACATATTTATACATTCTTATTGAAATTACAGTTTACTTACCGGGGAGAGTTACAAGGAATAAAAATTAATTCGAAAAATCCCTAAAAGTGGGACCTGTCGGTGCTCAGTTGGTAAAATAGATTACGCTTTATATACAACGTATGTCCTTCGTATGTGTATGTATGACCATGAGGAAGAAGACCCCACATTGAAAAGCCTTGGGAACTTCCAATTTCAAAAATGTGAAAGCACCTTCTTATCTCCCCATATTTTTCTTTCACATAATATTAAACTTCATACCTTTGAATTCAATATTTCCCAAACTTGAAGCTTCCTTCTTCCTCCCTTTCAACCAAACACACCCTTCAATTCTCTCTATCTGGCCATCCATCACTATCCCCTCTTCCTACCTTGGAAAGCTGCTCTCTTCCTTACCAAACTTTCCATTCAAACATAACGTTATTACCCCCTTTAAATCCCTTTAATTCCCAAAATTATAAACTCATTCAATTCAATTATACATCTAGAAATGTATCATTATGGTTTCCTTACCACATTTTTCTTAGTCTTTTTGGTATCGGCCAAAGTTACCTTGGCCGATACCATTGGTCAAAGGTTTAAGGAAGCACCACAATATTACAACGCCCCGAGTTGTCCAAACATTGTGACGACTCATGATAGTAGTTTACAAGATGTTAACCCTTACGGGTCTGAGGAGGCTGTGCACGTTGCGATGACGCTTGACTTGACATACCTTCGCGGCTCAATGGCCGCGATCTTATCGGTCCTACAACACACGTCCTGCCCCCAGAACATCTTCTTTCATTTTGTCATCTCGTCGTCTACACCAACCTCGAATTTACGGGCCACGATTGCAACCTCGTTCCCGTATCTTCATTTCGAACTCTACCCCTTCGATGACGATTCGGTCTCGGGTTTGATCTCGACTTCAATACGGTCAGCACTCGACTGTCCATTAAACTACGCGCGATCATACCTCGCGAACCTCCTCCCACTATATGTATCCCGAGTCGTGTACCTAGATAGCGATGTCGTCGTTGTCGACGACATCGCTACGCTGTACAATGTCGATTTAGTAGATGATAAAGTATTGGCTGCTCCTCAATACTGCAACGCCAACTTCACTGCTTACTTCACCTCCACATTTTGGTCCAACCCTTCCTTGTCCGTCACGTTTGCTGACAGAGAAGCGTGTTACTTTAACACGGGGGTAATGGTCATCGACTTGAATCGTTGGCGGTCGGGTGATTACACCCGTCGGATCGAGGATTGGATGGAGCTTCAGAAACAAATGAGGATTTACGAGCTCGGTTCATTACCCCCATTTCTACTTGTTTTTGCCGGGAATATCGTCCCGGTTGATCATAGATGGAACCAACATGGTCTCGGTGGAGATAATTTTCGTGGGCTTTGTCGCGATTTACATCCGGGCCCAGTTAGCCTTCTCCACTGGAGTGGAAAAGGCAAACCCTGGGCCCGTCTAGACGCTAATCGCCCTTGCCCACTCGACGCCTTGTGGGCCCCTTACGACCTCCTCCAAACCCCCTACGCCGCCGCCCTGGAGTCGTAAAGATAAATCAGTAAATACTCCGCATTACATAAGTCCAGACTCACCGACGGTTCATAAATGGTCAGGTATTGGTCAGCTTTTTCCTAATCAATACTAATAATAATATTATAATGCTCTCAAACAACGATCAATGTGGGACCGATCGAGAGTATTATTACTGTTACTATTATTATTAAATAGCTAGGCTGCCGACACAATATATGGATATGTAAGTATGTAAGATTCTCTGGCGCTGCATAGTCGGGGAATTATTATTAATTTTTTTTTTTTTATTACATCAAAAACAAGTGCTTCAATGTAAATGGGAGATCAAGAAGAACACAAAACAGTAAAGAAGATGGAAGATAAAGATGAAGAAGGTGATGATAAGTTTAATTACATGTATTTCTGTAATTGTTTTGTTATTTTATTTTATAGTATAAAATATAAGTACATGGGAGTTAATTAATGAGGGGAATTAGTTAGCTAGAGGAAATGGTGGGGGAAAAGTAGAAGAGAATTATAAATAGAAAAGCACATGCTTCAAATTTTGTTCTAATAAATTTTCCATATGGGATGGAAGAGGTATCATATGGCATTATTCGTTGCATATACTACGAATAATCAAACTTGTACATAAATCATTTTGCTCAATTAATACAAAATAAATAATAATTGGACGTCTTTATTCATTGTTTTTTACACTACTTTTTTTTTTTTTTTTTTTTGGGTTTTCCTGATATACTCTGTAATTTTTATGTTTTTTTACAAAGTTATTTTTATGTTTTTCTAGTACCATGATTTTTTTTGAGGGAGAAAATACAGAATTCAATACTACTTGGATGGATGGATGTATATATATGGAAATTGAAAATTGTAACGACCAATGATTTTGTTGTACAATACTACAATATGCTTAGTATAGTAGTGCGCTCAAAGGTGAAAATGAAAGTAACATAGCAAATCAAACACAAATAGATAAATAAATAAACCCCCGCGGTATGTTACTCCATTATTTTTTTATTATTTGATTGTGTGTCAAAGATATCTTCTACTACACATACAAGTATTAGAAGTTGTTTCAAATTAAATCTACATATTACATAACAGATATTTGCAGTTTCTTGACATCCTTGGTTAACTATGATCCCATGACATTTTTACATTAAAAATAATCATAACTATGGTTTATTTAAAAATTGAATTCATGATCTCATGGCTAAACAATAAAAATTTAACCATTGAGTTATGTCATAATATTTGTCTTTTATTGCAAGAAAAATTAAATAAAAAAATTGCAATTTTTGTGAAACAAATTAAAAAAAGTATATTAATAACATATAATAGTAAATTCTATAAAATTAGAATTGAGCCATACATGTCATACATAATTATTATAATAATATACATACATGTAATAATTATTAATCAAGGCATCATTCGAACCTAAAAGCTAGTTTTAGTCTTCACAATTCAAAAAGACACTACATACAAGATCTAAAAGTAACTTCTTCCCCTATATCATAAAGATTTGAATTCTACACTATTTATTTAAATAATATTTAACTATATATATATCCACTGTCCAATGAGATGTAATATATATGATGCTTCTCAATGTGTATGATCTACTTTTTATAATTTAATTAAATTTTTTATAATTTAATTAAATTAAGATGTTACTAAAACCATTAATGATAAAAAAAAATGGTGCATCAATAATAAAGGTCAACTTAAACATGATTCAACTTTAAAAACAAGAAAAGTATAGTTAAATATAGAGTTCAAAGTTGAGTGTATGGTTACTTATAAAGAAATTAATGTACTTAGAAAGTGAGGAATGAAGATGTAATGCAAAGTTGTGAATTTGTCATGTATTGTTTGTATTTGCATTATATGGCAAGGTTATAATAATAGAGGGACAAACAAATAGAAAATGACATTTCTGAGTTATAAACTGTACGACTATTGAGTTGTGATTTATACCAATATGTGGAACGGTACTATAAAACTATAAATGGTTGTTGCGGTGTCAAAGATAGTGACAAATTAGAGAGAAGAGAAAATGAATAGCTTTTGTATTGCTTGATTATTATTCTATCAGTAAGTTGAGTATTTATACAAAACCTATGCTCATGAGATAGGAAATAATCTTCAGTAAGTTGAGTATTTATACAAAACCTATGCTCATGAGATAGGAAATAACCTTCCCAAAAGATATACCATTTATCCTAATGATATATTCACTAAATAATATCTTAACATATCATAAACTTAAATATATTATTCCCTTAATGATATTTACGGAAAATATATCATACATATATTTTCCGATATCTCATATCTCTAACACCCTCCCGCAATCGTAACGGCAGTAACACGAACGTTGCGATTGGAAATTCTTCAATTTGTTGAAGTCGAGATGCACTCTTGTGATGTCGCCTTCAATTTTTTTTTTCATTCTTCAATGATGAGAACGTTCATCTTTTTCGAACTCATCAGTCATCAATCAAACAGGAACGTCATTCTTTTCGAACCTACAAATATAACAATTTTGGTTTTTCCAGAGCAAAACCGAGCTCCAATCAAATATTGGTTTGTCAGAGTAAACCACACTCAAATTTCTTATTGGTCTTTCAGAGTAAACCACACTCAAATTTCTTATTGGTCTTTCAGAGTAAACCACACTCAAATTGGTCTTTTAGAGTAAACCACACTCAAATTTTCTTATTGGTCTTTCAGAGTAAACCACACTCAAATCCAAAGGAGCAAAATTATGCTCGAATCAACTCACAAACCTTGTCTCACGGCACAAGGAGAACCAATTTCTTGTCTCACGACACAAGAGAGCCGAAAACCTTTTTTTTTTTTCATCATCTTTGAGAGTCAAAGACACACCAACAATTTTATTTTGATCTCAATGCTTAGAAAAGCCACGCATGATGTAATGTATACATCAAGTCATCAACTCAAACTCTGCACCAACACTAACTTGCACAGCGGAATAAACTAAAAAAAATTGGTAATTTTTGCTAAAGGATCATCCCACCGGTTTAAACCCACCGGTAGGGGGGAAATTTTTTTATGAACGGTCCCAAGATTTAACCTGCTCTTGATACCATGACAAATTAGAGAGAAGAGAGAATGAATAGCTTTTGTATTGCTTGATTATTATTCTATCAGTAAGTTGAGTATTTATACAAAACCTATGCTCATGAGATAGGAAATAATATTCCTAAAAGATATACCATTTATCCTAATGATATATTCACTAAATAATATCTTAACATATCATAAACCTAAATATATTATTCTCTTAATGATATTTACGAAAAATATATCATACATATATTTTCCGATATCTCATATCTCTAACAGATAGCTACATTGGTACATATTTTTGAAGCTAATATATATATACAAGTATATGTCTAGATGATGATGTATGTAATGACAAATTGACAAATATATATACTTCTAATAGTAATGCTACAAACAAATATGCAAATGATGCATTATTATCTATTATACCATTGTGAAATGGTAAGTTGACTTGTTAAGTATAATGTAAGAGTCAACTGAAAAAAAGATTGAAGAAAATGGTAAGTTGACTTGTTAAGTATAATGCTAGAGTCAAATGAAAAAAAAAAAAAAAAACACATTTTAAAATATATATACTCGTATATTATATCATTGTAAAATATAATAGTAACAATACAACGTATACTTTAATGGTATTGTTTATTATATACCTATATAAATGGTATTGTTTATTATATACCTGTATTAATGGTACTCATAAAAACATTAACCAATATAGTATTAACCATAAAAACATTAATTTATGGGATTAGTATTGTACACATAAAAACATTACGGAGTAATAAAATTCTCAAAAATACTGCTATTAAGTATTAACCAATACAAAAAAGTATTAACCAATACATCAAAGTAAAATATGTCCTTAACTTCCGTTCAAAAAAATATATATATGTCCTTAACTAATTTGCTCAACACATAGGCCCAGTGCGATCAAAATTTCATAAAAAGCATTAAATGACAATATTACGTATACAAAAAGGTTGATCCGTTAGTAAAAAAGAGAAAAAAAAAAAAAAAAGGTTTTTCATAAAAAAAAAAAGGGGTGAGTCCAAGCTTTATTCCAATGACGTGTAGAGAGAGTGTAGTCAGCTAGAAATCTAGAATCTCCAAGTCCAAACATGTGATATGGGCTGCTCATCAACTAACCAAATCCTATGAGTGATAGATAAATTTACAGTTCATAATAGTAACTTATCAGGGGCAAAAATGTCTTTTTACACATTAGGTTGGTGTAAGTGTGTAACATCAATAAAGTATTGATTATTGAGAGAACTAGTTTTTTTTTTAGGCAAAACGTAACAACAAGTGAAATTTAGTATCCAAAGAAGAAATAAGGTAAGCTAATTGTATTCCATTTTTTTTATTTTATGTTTTGAATTAATGTAAGTCCAATAAAACTTGGCTTTAGGTTGAATGTTGCATGAAAGTTCCTTTGATAAATGAATAATATAAGTAGGTAAAAAAATTAATTGAAAAAAAATATAGAAAATTGATCAACAATAAAAATGGCAATAATGATAGGGGGAGGGTGTGATGAATCCTTAAGAGCAACTCCAATGGTTGTAGCTTGGGGACTTGCTAATTTTCAAAAGTTTCAAGCTAGTTAGGCCAAGCAAATTAGCTTACCTAAGCCAATTTGTTTGAGAAAAGAGTTTTCAAATTTTTTAAAGATTAATGTATTAAAATATTAAATTTATAAAGCTAATTGAGAAAGTCAAGTTTATTTAATTAGCAAGCTAGTAGCTAACCATTAGGGCACAAAATAGCTACAAAGAGGATTATAGCTTAAAATCATATGTGACATACCAAACTAATTTAATGATTAGCATACCATTGAAGATGCTATAAGAGGAAGATTTGCTATTATGACAAATCAAAATGATGTAAGATTAATATTTAATATAATAATATTTTTATTTTATTATAAATTGAATGTCTAAGGCTTTCTTGTAGGATAAGCCATTACATAAGATGAATGTTAAAGCATGAAAGTTTCTTATTTTTATAATTATTTGTGAAACTATAGAATATATAGATCAACAATAACAATGTCAAAAATGGTTAGGAGGAGAGCGTGATAGAACTTTGCAGAAGCCTCCTTTACCACAAGAACTGCTACATAAACTGTTGCATTTGGTTTCACTTGCAGATCCTGGAATACATTGTCCTATATGATTGTCTTTACAACATGTTACTTTTGCATCTCCAAAATCATCAGCTGCATGCCAATATCATATTATTGTATACATCAAACAAAATAATCTATGCTATAGTTGTTAAATGCAGTGTAATTACATTACATATATAGATTAATTTCATAGACCAAAATAATCAACACGTACATACAATTTATTATTCTACATATCGAAATTATTAGATAAGTAAGGTACAAACCTGATCAAACCACAAGGGCAACAAAGAGTAGAGCTACAATCATACTGATTTTCTTCATGTCTTCTAAAAAATAACCGAACTTTAAGTATGCGCTTTGTATATAATAAATTGTAAATATATTTCAATAATATGCTATATGTAGGGAAAAAATAGTTATACATGTAATAACACTAATGAGTTGAATACAAGTAGGGGAAAAAATTGATCTAATATACCCTAGAATTTTGTTGACAATAGTAATTATGTTACCTTCAAATTTTCAATAGACAAGTGTAGAAATATTTATTGATTGACAAGAATTCTTAGATTGATTATGATCATATATATAGTGTTGTATTTTACCAAAAATAAAAAGTATATATAGTTGTTGGATCAATTTTAATTTGGTAAATATTTTTATATGCCAAAAAATATATAGAAGATTTCCTAAATATGGAATTTCGGTCATTTGAATCAATTTTACTAATAATTTAAAAGATGTAATAAAAGCAATTTTTTTTTTGAAGGCTATCTAATATAAGCAATTTGACAATATGTATTTACTAATTTATGTTAAGGTAATGAAAAGAGTTTCAAGTTGTTTAGGCAGTAATCAGGATACTAAATAATAATTTCCCTCATAAAAAATAAAAAAATAAAAACACCTCCCTTAATCAGTTTGCCTATAATTAATGGAAAATTTTGCATCATTGTCATAAATAAGAACGAAATACAGTGCTCTGTATAACATTGTCACAAAAAGATATCACAAAGATTTTGAAGGAAAATGACATTTCCAAAAATCTAGATAATTACGGCATATTTCTAAATTACTACTACTCTAAAAAACTAAAATAATTGACAAATTAATTTAATCAATTTAAACTATTTAAAGTTTAAAATTATTTACGGAGTAATAAATTGATTTATTGTACAATAGTTCTTAGTTTAATGATTTTACAATGATCTTGTTTAAAGTTGTGAATGTTGTATGTCAATTGTGAGTAGCTAATTGGTGAATCCATAATCTACATCTCCAAGGGTTCCTAAATAAGAATTCGTACTTCGTAATTTGTACTATGTACGATAATAACTAAGGATTATATGCAAACAATGTACAAAGTGATACGAACATGAAGGTAGTATACCATCAAACTAAGCTTGGTGGTAAGGATTGTATCAACTAACCTTAATTCAATCTTCATCTACTAACCTTAAACTTAAAAATTCAATTTTCATCGGAAACACTTTGAGATGAGGATCCCTTACCCTTTTTCCCCTTTACGTTAAAGTATCTGATCCGTAAATACCGAATTAAAAAAATAAACCGTGAGGTTAAGATACGGTTAGAGTTACTCCCCATTGATATATTTTTACTGACAGTCAACTCAAAATCGGAATATTTAAGAATTAAGAGAGAGTACAGTAATATTTTTATTGTTTGAACTTTAGAAAGATTGAAACACCGACATAAAAACGAGCTTGAAAATTGAAATTCATAGTTAAATATGGGGCCAAATCATTGCATCTTAACCATGTTCATCATCTTCCCAAGTTTGATTGCTTCTTCCCAGCAAATAATCTGTTGATTGTAAGTTTTTTCAGAATTTTAATTTCTTCCCTCCAATATTTATATTTGATAATTTGCAACTCCATTTTAATTTCTATACCCTTATTATTGAATTGAAAAATTATATACTTTAATTGAGTTATGTTGCTCAAATTTGCCACTTTTTTTCTGGGTTGTCTCTCAATTTCTATTTTATGAAACATTATTCAGTTGAGCAGATTTTATCGAGCTATTGCAATTTCAGATTTTTTTCCCTTTATTCTCGGGTTTCAATAAATGATAAGGAGTACTCCCTTTGTCCGGAATTAATAGTTACATTGATGGTGTAATTTGAACTCGTTACGTGACAACTAAATACAGAGATGGGAATTGAAATACTGTGGTGCATTTTAATGGAGATGGGTACTCTTAATTTCCCTTTAAAATTAAATGACTTCCTGTAATTGGATTTATTTAGGTTCTAAGTTTGTTCATGTATCTGAATGTTCACACCTCTCTTCATGCATGTACATTCAAATTCTTTATTTTCTCGTGTTGTGGAAAACAATACTACCTTTTTCCGGAATTAATAATCATGTTAATGTAATTTGGACTCGTAATGTAACGACTAAACAACGGATGGAGTTTGTGAATTGCATCATTGTATGGGAATTGGAATACTGTAATGCACTGAAATGGAGATAATACTCAGTATTTCCCTTTAAATTTAAATTACCTTTCTTAATTATAATTCTTTAGGATCTGATTTTGTTCATGTATCTGAATGTCCACACCTCCTTCCATGTATGATTAGCCATATTTGGGCCAAAATTTCTGTTTCTGTGAACATGTAAAGTAACAGCTTAAATATTAAATGAACTGTTTGTTTTCATCAACTTATTATTATGCGGGATGTTACATTTTTCAATGTTTCACCTTTAATTCTGTATGTTTACCATTTGTTTTTGTGAAGATTATATAAATGGTCATGTTGAAGAATCCATTGCAATGTAATTCATAAGCATTATATTTAGAATTCACTTAGAAAGTTAGAAGTTAAAGGATGCCTCTCTTTTGTACCATTTTCATTGTATTGTTGGTCACCTCATCACCATTCTTTGGGGCAGGGGAAAATGCTGTTAATCCGAGGATTCAAAACTATATTGTTAGGATTGAAAATGGCTATAAACCTGCTGCATATTTTGATGTTGTGGAGTGGTATAGCTCCATTCTTAATAGCATTGGATTCAATGTTGTCCAAGAGGAAGGAGGGAAAGGCAGTAGTAATTTCCTTCATGTTTATGGAACTGTCTTTCATGGATTCTCTGCTCGATTGACCTTTGAGCAAGCCCAGTTGCTTAAAACCCAACCTGGTGTACTTGGACTCTTCTCAGACCAAGTTTACCACCTTCAAACGACAAGAACACCATATTTCCTTGGGCTCGATTCCTACCATGAACCGGTGGGTTTGTTGAAGGAGTCTGACTTAGGCTCTGATGTTGTGATTGGTTTTCTTGATTCTGGGATTTCGCCTGAGAGCCCAAGCTTCAGCGATGAGGGGCTAAGCTCAGTCCCTACCCACTTCAAGGGGGTTTGTGACGGAGGCATAGACTTTCCTTCCTCATTGTGTAATAAGAAAATAGTTGGGGCCAGGTACTTTTCTAGAGGGATACTAACAATGAAGGGCACTAATGAGGAAGAGCCTCAGTCAGCTAGAGACTATGAAGGGCATGGGACTCACACAGCTTCAACGGCAGCAGGTAGAGGCCTTAATGCCTCTTTCTTCGGCTATGCTGAAGGAAGGGCCACTGGGATTGCACCCAAGGCAAGACTGGCCATATACAAGGTTTGTTGGACAAATGGGTGTGTGGCATCCGACATATTGGCTGCATTGGACAAGGCGGTCCAAGATGGGGTTGATATTATTTCCCTCTCTCTTGGTGGTTCTCCAACACGGTATTCTACTGACCCCATTGCAATAGGGTGTTTTGCAGCTGTTGAGAAGGGGATCTTTGTCTCAGCTTCAGCAGGAAATACTGGGCCTGAATTCAGAACAGTATCAAACATAGCTCCATGGATTACCACTGTTGGGGCGAGTTCTATTGACCGGACCTTCCCTGCTGATCTTGTCCTTGGAAATGGCATCATATTCACTGGAGCTTCTCTATATACTGGTGAACCGATGAAGGATAAACAATTCTTCCCTATCATTGATTTGGGGGGTTCAAATTGTGAAGCAGATTATTTAGATCATGACTTGGTCAAAGGTAAAATAGTTGTCTGTTTACGTGGTTTTATCAGCTCAATACAGAAAGGCTTGAATGTTAAGGATGCAGGAGGATTGGGCGTTGTTATTGCCAATGATGAAGTTCAAGGGGAGAGTCTAAAAAGTGATCCACATTTGGTCCCTGGATTATCCATTACCAAATCTTCCTATGATAAACTTGTTGGCTACTTGAATTCAACTCGAAATCCCAAGGCCACAATGGTGTTCCATGGGACTAAGGTTGGCGGCAGTCTAGCCCCAGCAGTGGCTGCATTTTCATCTCGGGGTCCTCACTTTGAGTCTATTTACCTTCTCAAGCCTGATATAATTGCTCCTGGTGTTGACATCCTTGCTGCTTGGCCCAATAAGGTTCCACCTTCTGGATTGGGACTCACAGAGGATTCACGACATTCCTGGTTTAATATCATATCTGGAACTTCCATGTCTTGCCCTCACGTGTCAGGCATTGCAGCCCTTCTCAAGGGAGCTCACTCAGACTGGTCACCAGCCATGATTCGTTCAGCTTTAATGACAACCTCGTATAATTATTACTCTAATGGTAAGCCTTTAGTAGATCAAAAATCTTACACTGAAGCATCAATCTGGGCCACTGGTGCAGGCCATGTACATCCTGTAATGGCAAATGATCCAGGTTTGACTTATGACATAGATATGGACTCTTATGTTGATTTCCTTTGTGCCTCTAAATATACTGAGGATGAAATAAGGACCATTGCTAGGAGGGTTGTTAGCTGTGACAAGAAGGCTCTTAAGCAATGGGAACTGAATTATCCAGCCATCATTGTCGCATTCAATCAAACCCAAGAGAATAGTGCAATTGAGTTTATTGTCACAAGGACTTTAACCAATGTGGGTGTGATAGCGTCTAAATATACAGCTATAATTTCCAGCCCTAAAGGGACACTTGTGACTGTTAATCCTCCCAAATTAAGTTTCAAGGTGAAGGGTGAGAAGCAAAACTTCAGAGTCAAAGTCTTAACCACGAAAATTCCTTTCAAGGATGAAGAGGTGGGTTGGCTGACTTGGACAGACAGTCAGCACAATGTTACAATTCCTCTGGTTGTGGTTTTTAAGAACAATCACTAGATTTGCATGATGAAAATTACATTATTAATAATTTTAGTAATAGTTCGTTTTGAAAATTGTAATGTTAGCAATATCCTATTGTTTATGCTTAAGGCAATTCAGAGATTAAATGATTCCATATGCAATATGATTTATCATATTCTATTTAACTATTTTCAGCATTTTCTAAGGCTAATTTCTGAGTTGCAAATGTTTATTTTTGTTTAAAGACCGTGAACATAGTTAAATATAACCATGAATGTGAAAAAGGGGAGGAAGACCTAAACTTTGAGCGTTGATGGCGGTGAAGATTAAGCGTGGTGGGAGAATCTACAGTATGGTGAGCGAAAAAAACGTGTTAACAGGATTTGAACTCCAAAGTTTGATAAGCTAATACCCCTTTTAGTCTGTCAATGTATAGTGTTTTTTTTTTTTTTTTTTTTTTTTTTTTTTTTTTTTTTTTTTTGTTGATATATTCACAGGTGAAGGAACATCTATGGCACCTTTCTTGAAGTTTCTTCCATCAATTCAGAGTAATGATGCCTTGAAGAGGTCAACAAATACTACAAATTTTACAGCAGGACATAGAAGTTCACTTCACGTCCTTTATGTAGCTGATTTGTTGCTTATATGCATGGTACTACTGCGCTGACAAAACTTATTGGCAGAGATCATCCATGTCGCTTGGAGGCCGCCTCTTTAAGAGAGCTGTAAGTCTTCTCAATGAATTTTGCTATGATATTAATGAATTTAATATTATTGCTCGCCTGTAGTGTTTGAAATGTCATTGCGGTAAAAAACCTGTTGTCTTCAGCTGTAATCTGTTCCATCACAAATTCACAATTATTTATAGAAAATCATAGTACTTCAGATATCCATAGCTTATTTATATTATCGGTTTTATCTGAAGCTACCTTTTGTTCCAAGTCTTCATAGCTCATAGTAGTACAAATTTGTGCTTGATTATGTGGACTCAGTTTACGCCATGTGATGCAATGAAGCACTGAACATGTTTTTGTTGTTCTTTTTTTTAAATAAATAAATAAATAAAATAAAATAAAATAAATCAAATACTATGCAATCATGTATTGTATGTCAATCCAATTATTTGCACTCACTTTCATAAAGTGCTATTTGAATTGTACATCACATTTTACTAGTATAACTAGAGAAAGTTGCATACTTGTTTAGACAACCGATTGGAAGCCAATCTCACTTTTTTCTGTTTTGTTATAGTTTCCTGCTGATTACATTACATGTTTACTTTGTGTTAGGAATTTGTTGATTCATATGGTAATGAAATTGACTAATAATGCATTAGATCATACTTTCTATAAATAAATAAAATTCATATAGTGTGGCAATATAATGATGAATTAGGAAATGGTCCCTCCCTCCAACCCCATCATAATGCTAGCATTTTAGATACTGCAATTACTGTAGAACAGCTAGTTGATAATACTTAATTTAGCTATCTGATTGAGACTTTGTGGTTCAGCTTTAGTAATAGCTGGATGTGTTTAGAACCTCTGATAACCCAGAAAAGTAAGCTTATACTTCTCTACAAAGACTAGTTTTTATGAGATGTAGATATGTTGACTTAATGAACAACCTTGGATGCTTTGATAGAGTGAACTGATCTTTAAAAACATTGATGCTCATTTTCTTCTCTTTACTTTTTATTCTATCTCCCAGAAAGCCTCTTTGATTTTGTATATTGATTTATCAGGTATAAATTTCGGTGCAAGTATTTTTTGATTTATGAGTTATTGTTGGTTTATATAGATATTTATTTGAGAAAAACTATTTGATTTTTTTGGTGAAGAGAAAAACTATTTGATGTCTTCTTATATGTTATATTTAATTTTATAATGTGGATTTCTTATGTGAAATGGTGTTTAAAATCTTTGTAATCCTTAGTTAGACAGCTTTGTTTGACTGTTCTGCTGTTAAGCCGATCTGTGTCTTATAGAGTCCAGACTCCAGAGAACTGTGAACTGAAGCAAATAATGAGTAACAGAACATACTTAAGGAGGAAAAGGCCTGTGGAGACATCTGACGACCCGGGTGAAGTGAAATCATGGAGATTCTTGAGAGTTATGCCAACTTCCAATCTTCAAGAAAGCATGCAGGTAAATCTAGTTTTTTTCTTTTCTTTTTTTTTTAATGCTAAAAATCATTGGTAGTTTACCTGATAGATGGTTGTTGAGGTGGATTCCCTGAGGAAATACAGATTTCTTTCGCTTAAACATCTTGAATTAGTGTTTTTGCAAACTATTCTGGCTTCTCCACTGCACCGTTATGGGTTTTAATTGATTTCAAACAGTTTTAAAAGAGTCAATCATGTGGTACCTTGTTTCCAAAATCTGTTTGAATTCCACCTGACCTGCCTATGTAATTTGAAGTGAAATATTCGGTGTATATTGTTGGAAATAAATTAAATTTCTGATGAATGTCACAGAGGATCCCTTGTGAATTTGCCAGCAAATTTCGGTCCAAGTCATCTGTATCTGTCTCACTCAGTGGTGCAAACAACTCCTGGATTGTCAAAGTATCTAAGAAAAAAAACAAGCTCCAGTTCTGTACCGGGTGGGACAAATTTATTAAGGATAATTCCGTAGATGATGGAAGTATGATCTTATTCAAATATAAAGGAGATTGTAGATTCAAATTTTGCATATTTGATCCTGCTGGCTGTGAAACTCTACCATGTCATATCCATGATGGAAAACAAAAGATTGACTCTTGCAGTGAGAAAAGGCGAGAAGTATATGAGGAAGACTTTGAGGAAAAACCTTTGCTGAATCCTCCTATGAGTAAGATAATGTACATTAGATCTCTTTATATTTTTTTTGAAGAATCGCCCATTTTGAACTTTGTTAGGACGTAATATATCTTTGAGGTAGGGTGTCTATCAAATTATTTCAGGCTCGAGCAAGGAGGACGTCAATCATGCCATCAATTACGAGGACAACACCAAACTTGAGGAATTTTTGGTCTCCTTGAAGAATCCCTTCTTTTTTGCTAAGAATAGCTCTAGAAGCGAACTGGTAATATTAGCACCACCCTTGCCCCTTCCCCCATCAATCACTAAGAATAGTACATACAGTCATAATTATGATCAATTAGCTCATTAACTTTTGTGGTTTTACGAGGCTTCCATGTGAAGATGAAATTTCATCATATATCATCATGTTACCAATACTTAAACATCATTCTTTGTTGTGTTCATTCTTACATCGTATAGATCAAGGTAATCATGAAATGATGAAAATAATGTAACTTCTTGCTTCCATCTGCAGGTGATTCCTAAAGAAATCATATATACTTTCGGAATCCAATTTGATGAGCCATTTTCAATCGAAGATCCAAAGAAAAGGAATTGGGAAGTACGAGTAGTAACCTGGAAGGATGGTAGGGTAAGGCTCACTGGTTGGAACAAAGTCCGCAAATGTAACTTGATTACAGACAAGGATGCCTGTGTCTGTGAGCTCATTCCTACCAATGTGCCAACTTACGGTTCCATCAAGGTGCATATATTCCGGAATCAGAAAAAACCGGCTACATTCTGATAGATTAGAGCATAGGTCATATAAGTGATTTCTCATTTCTAATGACTGAAGGAAAGCTCCTGTCATGAATTAGCTGTTAGTTTATAATATACTCTGTACTGGATTTGTAAATTTAGATGACAAAACTGATGTTGAACTTCCTGCTTATTAAGAGTAGTAATATCATCTTTAACTCTTTGCCAGGACCTTCTAGCAGGTTTTAGATTTTACTTGTATTATCTTGTATCTTTGGATGGCTCATAACCTCAAAGTATGATAAATGCGACTTAGGTTGTTCAAGTTTAATCTAGTCAAGTTCGGACTGTTTATCGTGTTGGGCTAAAAAGGACAACACTATGTCTATATCTAATCTAAAGCAATTCAGTGTTTCCTTTGATCAATATAGTTTGATCATGCTTTCCGATCAGCTCAACAATTTTTTTCAGACTTGGTTATTAAATAGATTATCTGATGGGTAAATGGTTAAAGTCAAATTAATATGGTGTTTATTGGGCGAAGTTCTAATATACACAACTTCTATAAAAGAACATCTATGGTAAGGAAACAAAAAAATCATATAGTTTCATATTCACATGCTCTTATTCGCCTCTATCCTTACCCATTTACTCGATATTAATGGGAAATTTTTCTGTATGGCTGACCACACTATGTGACAGGGGTTACTCGAGTTACTTCTAATCGAGTAACCCTTGACCGAATAACCTCTAATCGAGTAACTTAAATAACCTCTAACCGAGTAACTCGAATAACCTCTCAATTCCTCAAGTAACCCTTAATTGAGTAACACAACCCTTCAAGTGACCCCTGACTGAACCCTCAATAACACTTGACCGAGTAATTCGGGTAACTCCGGTCATATGGTGTGACCAGCCACATAAATAACAACTTACCTGATCAACCCAATTCGAAGACTTAAAAAAGCTTAATCCAAATTACCGAATCCAATCCATGTAGTGAATTGAGTGGATTGACAAATCTAGTAGGACCAACCCAATTTGAGCCAATATGGACAAACTCATTTTGATTCGTTACAATACAACCCCCACTTGCTATTGATCAATGCTTTTGACCAACCCTATATATTCGGGCTGATCAAACACAATTGGCCCTTACTTTTGATTCTAGTTATGACTGTTTGACACAGAACTGTAATAAAACAGTACAACTCTGCAATGTTCTTGATTTGACTTTGATGTCTTATTGTCTTTTACTAAAATCAACCTTTCAAAAAAAAAATTAAATCAACATTTTTTCTTTCCCCCATTTATAACTACGAGAAACCCACCCCATCCCAATTCATCTTCACCCACCCCCCCCCCTCCCCAAAAAAAAAATAAAAAAAAATAAAATCAGTCCTCTGTATTTTCTAAAACCCTAGATTTCTCAAAGATTGGAACTTTGAAGATGGGTCCTTCAGATAAAAAGCACCCACACTTCTTCAAAGTGTTTCAACCTCAGCAATCTTCTGAAAATTTGGTACGTTTTTCATATGATACTTTTACCGAAGTTTTTTGTTATTTCCCCTGTTTTCATCCCTTAAATTTTCACGCTTTCTTTTTGTTAATGTTAAGTCGGTCGATTAAGCAAGATTGTTTCTTTCGTGTACATTAATAATTTTGGTTTTCATGTTTGATTGTTAACTTTAATTTGTATATTGTAAAATTGTCAATAAATTTTATATCTTTTTACATGTTTCCTTGTGATTTTGATAATTACATCATAATGTAGAAATTCAATGTTATCCAAAACTATAGATTATGATTTAAAATTGAATAATTTGCAGAAGCTTCCACCTGCATTTGAAGAGAAGATACCAGGAGAAATACCCAGTAGGGTGTTCTTAAGAAATAGAAATAGTACGAGTGGTAAGCCTTGGCTGGTAGATGTGGGCAGAATTGATGGTAGATTATGTTTTCAAGGGGGTTGGTCTAAGTTTGTCTTGGAAAATTCCTTGAATTTTGGAGAGTTTTTAGTTTTCAAGTATAATGGACAACGGATTTTCGATGTTTTGATTCTTGGGAGACATGGTATCGAAAAAGAATTCATGGCTGAGGGGACTGAAGAACTCGTAAAGGAGGACGAGGATGAGGATGAGGATGAGGATGAGGATGAGGATGAAGACGAGGACGAGGATGAAGATGAAGAGATGCGCTACACAATGTCTAGGAATATTTCATCTATGAAAAATTGTAAGATACTTTAACTCTTTTAGTTGATTTTAATAAGTCTTTCTTTGGTTTGTTTGCTTGCTATAGGAGGGTTAATAGTGAATTGTCTTAATACGATTGCATTTAATTGTATGAGTACTCTTTAGGTCGCACAATGATTGTCTACCTTTTTTTTATAAGGTTTGTCTCTCTTTGTCCTTTGTTGTCCTCTTTGGCTAATATGTAATTATTTTCACAATACCAAGGCACAATTTGTTGTTATGTAATATGTACTATACATATATTAATAAGGCGGTCATTTTGGAACGAAGGGAGTAGTTTACTTAATTCGAATATATTCTTATATGTTGTTGGTGAATTGGTTGAGTGTAAACCAAAGCTGAATTTGAGATTTCTAGGCACCCTATACTCCTATAGGTATAACAACAATGAGATTGAACCTAGCTTTCTTTTTTGGTCACTAATGTGTGAAATTGTGCAAGGCAGAATCGATGCAGTTAGAATGAAAAAGTCGAGGAGCATGAAATGTTTGTGGAAATTCTGAGATGTTTTGAAGTACTTAAGCAGTATAAATGTATGGTCTCAGCTTAAATTAGGCCTCTTGTAGGGCACTTCAATCGAGCATTAGGATGTATTCCCGGCTTTGGAAGCTGACTAAATTGTTGAAGCACTCATAGGAGTATAGGACTGAAGCATTGGCTGAAAGATTTGAGCTGCAAATTGTATTATGTATTCTTACTGTCAATTCATATTTTCCCATTTCTCTGTATTTGGATTTGTGGCTTGTATAAGAGGTATGTTTAATGACATCAAGAGCCTATGCTTCTGCAGTTTAAGGCAAATTTGGTTAATGAGAATTCTGGAGTGAAGATGTAAACTCACTCTTTTTATTGCAAAATCTGTTTTTGTTGTCTTTGAAATTAGAACAAGTCTCCTTTTATTAGGCATGCTTAATCTTGCTGGTTTGGGATCACATCTTTGATGTTTCTATCACTGTCTTTCTTGAACATAAAACTAAAAAACCGCCTTTTCTCACCCTGAGTCTTAAATTCAGTCTCTTTAAGCATTGAATGGTTGTCTTCATACATCAAGTTCAGTTTATCTCTCAAAGTTGGTGTAGAGGATCCAGAACTCTTTATGATGGGGGCTTTCACTAGGATCATTGTATGATACTCCATACATGATGTTTTATAACCTTTTCATTTATCTTCCTACTTCAGTGTCCGAGCACATTACAAACAGCAATGAAGATGATAGTGATGAAGATGACAGTGAGGATGAAGATTTTAAGCCCACTAGAAAATTCCGGAAATTATAAGGGAGAAAATTGGTAAGTTGTGTCCACTTACTTAACATGAAATATGTATAGTTGATACCAAACTAATACTCTTTGATATTCCCATCTCAGGTTAAGCAAGAGTGTTATTGTCCTCCAAGACGCAAAGGAAGAAGCTGGTGCAGATTAGACTATATATACAAGCCGGTGGACCTGGATCATGGGATGGTGGCTAAACTTGTGCAACTAAAACTAAGTTAGGAAAATTGCCTGGCACCATTATTTGTGAGTTCCTGTCTCAAAGAAAAGATACTTGTGAAATCATCATCTCGTGATACTGTCCAAAGGCAACTAATTTAATTAACAAATCAACTGTATCAAATGATCTAGTTGTTTTAATAATGTTCTTTCAGATTTAGGAATGAAATACAACTTTTTTATTTTTACAAAATATTTGTCAGATATGTTTGGTCAAATAAATGGATATCATTATTGTTCTTTCCATTTTAAGGATTTGGATCTAGATTCTTAATATGATTCTTTATGAGTTATCTTTACTATAAAGACTAGAATAGACCCGGTCTACAATAACTTATTGTAGACCCAACCTTCTAGTATTCCATACGAATGTGATTATATCATACGAAATGTGATTATATTACAACAAAAGTGATTATATCATCCTGAAATTATTATGTAAATGTATCACTCAAAAAGTGAATTTATCATTATAAAAAGTATCAAATAGTAAGTTACATCATTCAAAAAAGATGATTTTTAAATTTTATCATCCTAAAGATAATTATATAATCTCATTAAATGGTTTAATATGAGATTATATAATTCAAAGTATGACTCACAAAAAGATAATTATATCATCTAAAAAAGTGATTATATCATCCAGAATGTGATTATATTATTTGAAAGTGTCAAATTTTGGGTTTACAACAATTTATTGTAGACCGGGTCCATACAAGACAAATTGGAAGGGGGTCGATCTCTGGAGCGTATTTAAGTACTAGCCATATCACTATTCCACAACCTTAATCTCCACTCAATCCAAGTATAGGGTCAGACAAATTGATATAATGCAGCATTAGAATTCTGCAATTATGCTAATTATTTCAGAGCTAAAAAGCCATCAATAACAACTATTTGCAACCTGTTTAAATGCACAATAGACAAAACCAATTTGCTAATAAAATATCTCCTATAGTAAAATCCAAAAATAGATGGGCACTTTTTAATGTTGTTGGGATTTGCCAAATAAAGTATGAAAATGTCTAAAATACCCTTGCTAATTGCTAATTTCTAATCATGTAGCATATTATTAATATTTTATATAAGGGTAGTTATTATTTATGATGATGAAAAATGTGCTGTTGTAGTCTCGTGGAGCATTTGGTCACCAAAATGGGACCCACATGGTTCAGATTCACTATATGTACAGCTCTTCTTCACACATATTAAGAGTAGAATAAATGGGGCATATCTCCAAAAGATCAATATATATAAATTAATGCTTCAAATTGTAAAACTATCCAATATAGAAGATATAATACAGTAAGATTCCTCTGGATCTTAGTCTTTTTTTTTGTCAATAATTTACTCCTTGTTATTATGTGGGTGAAGATTTCTTGCAGAAATTGTTTTTCAGCTTTTTTAGGAATACAGTTTGAAGCAAAACTGAAATCTTGCAGTCTGAAATAGTGGTGGAGAAAATGGCAGAAGCAAAGGTCATCATATTGTACATTGCTTATGCCATCTTCTTTCTCCCTATCTTTCTCTTACTCTTTCTGCTTGGATTTGTCAAAAGTAAGCTTTCTTTCTATCCTCTTTTTGTTTTTTGTGTGAGCCGTAAAGGATAGTGATGTAGACGGGATTTGTTTGCAATGTCTGGTTGCCGTTGTTTTTCTGCAGATTTGATTGACATGTCAAATGCTTGAACTTGCAGGTGCAATATTCAGCCCCTTTGTGTTTCTAGTGATTGCTATTGGGGACACTGGTATTGTAATAGGGCTATGGCCTTGCCATCTTTTTTACAGCATCTATTGCATTATCAGGTAATTTCTTTGGTAGCTTAGATTAATTTATTCGCTAGTTCAATTTGCAAGATCCAAACTTTATTTGGTTGATCTATTAGAGAAGCTTAATTAAACTTGTATACAATAGGTTGTACTGTAAACATGCTAAGTCACCTCGGTTCAGTTACATGGCAACTTTGTTGAGGGATAATTTTTATACTTACTATCTCCGTTTCAAATTAGTTGCACGAGTTGTTTTTTCATAGCTCAAAATGAAGTTTAACCATAATGTTTTAATTTGTATTGGCAAAAATAATAAATAGTTAAATTTTTGAAAATAGACATTGAGGCGCTTCTAGCATTCACTTGACTATGTTACAGTCAATATTTTTAACGCCTGACCTTCAAATGAGAAATGGTGCAACTGTTATGAAACATAGGAAGTACTCGTCTATGACCTGGGGCGATTATGCTTGCTGTATACAAGGCTCTATATTGATAATTGAAAGATAATTCATACTGGGATTTTATGGTTTGCAGGACCAAGAAATTTGGCCCATTTATGAAGGGTGCACTGATCCTGCTATCACCCCTACCAATTGCAGTTTGGACAGTAGTTGGGGTAGTAGGCAGTGTTATAATGGCAATATATTATGCATTTGTTTGGCCTGTTATGGAAACTTTTAAGGCAATCAGTGAGGAAGGCTTATCAGTTCCTCAGAAGTTGGTCAAATGCTTAACGGTATGCTTACCAATTCAAAGCTCATATATGACATTTTTGGTTTTCATTTTGGCTGAGGCTATATCTTAATGGATATGAGCATGTTTATAATTAGGATGGTACTTGGAGCAATGTATGGGGAGCGTGCACTATTGTGCGCGATTTTGCAGATTTCTCCTTCCATTCTTATTTTTCTGTGATGGATGGATTGTTGGAATCGAAGGGAGAGAAGCCCATTGAACTCAAGTATGTTTCTGTTTCCTAGAATTCATGTATCTGTTAAGCATTTGATGAAATATGCAGAGTTTTGTTTGCAGATTTTTAAGGACTAGTTTTTATAATTGTTACTAAGCTAATCTTTACGAATTTTAACACAAATGTTGAACATCTTTCTTATGCAATTTATCATCTGCCAAACTAAAATATTGAATTCAGAGCAAGAATCGAAGATGTTTGTTTGCTAAACCAAAGCAATAGAATCTAAACCATGTTCATTTCGTTTTCATAATCTGAAAATCCTTTTTCTTTGATATGAGAGGTTATTTATTCATGAATTCATGGTTAAAATTTCAAACATTAGCATTTTCTTAAGCAATTGCAAAGAGAAGTGACTCAAATTTATGTATTGCAAAAACTAAAGCCAGAATTATGCATTAAAAAACATCTGAATGGGGATCCATATCCACAATCTGTAGTCCAACTCATGTCTTCTGATTTTGTAGTTGTATGAATGAATCATAACTCGCCCCATGAGTATTTGGTTTCAAAAATGTGATTAATTATGCAATGCAATTAAGGTCAACAACATTTGTAATTAAATTGGGTTTGTAAGCAACCAAAACCATGAAGGTTTTTCTCCAGTGTCAGTCTTTCTTATTCTGACTATGATACTTTATATGTTTGTAAACGTTATATCATACTGTACAGATTTTGACCTCCTTGAACTATTAATTCTAGAAGACTAAACCTTTTTTCCTTCTCTTTATAGGGTTCTGCAGATTCCTGGGTGTGTTTTATGTGCTGCTCTAGGAATATTGGTGGATGTGATATTTATTTCACTGATAACACTTTACAAAGCTCCGATTTTACTATTTAAAGGATGGCATCGGCTGGTACAAGATCTTGTGGGAAGAGAAGGACCCTTCCTTGAAACTGTTTGCGTCCCCTTTGCAGGGCTTCTAATCGTCCTGTGGCCAGTTGCTGTCCTTGTAGCTATTATTTGTGGCATCCTTTCAAGCATTGGATTCGGTTGTTATGCTGCTTTGGTTGCATATCAGGTAGCCTTTTTTCTATTGTGACCCTCCATAAATGTGAAAACAGGGCACAACATTGATCTCTTTATATGTCACAATTTATTTGATCCTTTACTGTTTTTGGGTTGACGATGATGTGTAGGAAGAGTCTACAAAGAAAGGATTGCTCTATGTCATAGCATCTGTATCCATTTTCGATGAGTACACTAATGACCTTCTTTATTTGAGAGAAGGTTCTTGCTTTCCAAGGTATAATTTGATTTTAGCAGACTAAAAAAAATGATGCTTCTCTTTGGGCCTTTTCTTTTCAAAATTTCAAGGGTACAATATCCAGTAAAAATCAATCTATCAGTAAACATAATTCAGTTTTAATAAATATCTGCTGTAATTATTAGCCTTACTCTTGAAAGTGTATGAGTAATTTCAGAATTTTGACCATTATCCATTTTGGGCAGCCAGACCTATATATCGAGCAGGAGCAAGCTCCAGTTTCTCATTGCTTCCCGTGAAGGGGCTGCATGAACAATTCAATGGTGGGCACCATAAGGATCCTCTTCTGAGAACACCTTCACAGAAAAAGAGAGCGTTGCATTCCATGCTGGTAGGTGTTAAATATGACATTTGATTGAACAAAGGAAAAGTTGGAAAGTTTAATATTACGCCCACTGATGTATAAAACAGATATGGGACAGTTTTTTCAAAGCGTGTGAACATGATGGAAAAGAGCTTCTCAGAAAGGGGGCTATCACAATTGCAGACCTTGATGCGTGGCAACAGTCAAACAACAACAACAAGATAATCAATGTAGGAGTTCCTGCTTATGTATTCATAGATTGCATCATCCGCTCTATTAAGAGTGGCTCGACTGGATTTCTTTTGAGTAAGAGCTTTTCGCCGTTCCTATACTCCTCACCTCCATATCTGATTTCTGTAAATCAAATTTAATCTCTAAGTCTTAACCCCTGTCCACATAATGTGTCTTCAGGTAACAATGTTGAATTGACAAGCCTGAACAGGCCTGAGGGAAGGGTGTTTGATTGGTTATTTGAGCCAATGAGCATCATGAAAGAGCAGCTCAGAAGCCTGAAATTGGTGGAGTCCGAAGAGTTGTATCTCTACAAACTGTGTCTTTATAATGGAGATGCAAGAAGGATGGAAGCATGGAACAATGGTGGTGCACCCCCACATGAAGAGATCAGAAGAGCTCAATTGGAGGGTATCAGTAGAAGGTATTTACAAATTCACTGTCTTTTATAAAGTATTATGTTCAGCATTAGATTTTTCACAAGTTTTGGACTAGAACATAGGTGAGGTTTGGTACTTTGACAGGTAGTAGTTGATAATGATGGATATTAGGAATGCAGCATTCATAAGATGGGGGTTGCAGGAGAGGGAAAAAAAACATCAATTGATATATGTGCCCGTTAGGGTGTTTGAACAAATGAATTCTTGCTCAGATTGGAACCATGTAGTGTAAAAAATATTTAGATGAGGAGTGAGTATTAGTATTACCAATCCAAACTGTAAGACAATTGGATTCGTTGTTGGTTGTACAAGGTTAGAATAATAATCTGAAGCTCAAATCTTGATATTATGGTCTGGAATTTTCAGGCTGCATGGCTTCTGTCTGACAATCTCAAGATTTCCAACATCCCGGCGAAAATTTATTCAAGTTCACAAGGATATAGCACAAGAATCAAACCGAAGGTCATTATCTTTAGGATCAGGAGCAGTATGAGATCATTTTGGCATTTGACAGATACTGATATTAAAGCTTGAACGGATCAGTCATTTTTTACAACACATTCTTTTTCTTTGCATGTATTGCAGTGTAATTACAATCACTCTGAAGTTAAGAAAAATCTCGCTATATTACTGTCACAATACTCGTTATAGCAACAACCCATGCAGCCAATTTCCCCCCTTGAATGTTAGAAATTCTTTATACATGGAATTTGCACTTTAACAGCTATCATGATGTACTGTTTTGAATACTATATAAAACCTAAGAATACATTTCCTTGACCTGTATATACTAAGCCATCATATTTATCAAAAAGTAAATAGTGATGTGCAAAGTGATTGATTAAATACAGTGCTCATATAGCAATTTGTATATGAAGCTACATAATACTGTAAGATAAGCTTTTTGGATCTCAAGATTGTACAATCACATTTTCCTGATATATTTCAATTATTTGTTATCCAAGTAGGATTTAAGAACCTATGAACATTAAAATCCTTCTGAGTGTCAGGATTGGTCGAGTTTATCAGGATCTATAAAATTTAGATTGCAGTCCATATTGCACTAATAAATGCTTAGAAACATTTTACATAACCCGGTTTATATAATACACTGATCTGAGAAAAAAAGACTGATTGAGACAACTAATGATCAAGAGGTTGCTTGAAGCATTCAATAGTTACAGGAGATTCAGATTTCCTATTCTGAAGCTGTTCATAAGCTGTCAGTTGCCGGATTCTTGGAATGCCTTTTCTAGCCAGAATCATGGAAGAAACTCCTGTGAACATCAGAATTCCGGCGAGTATCCAACTGAACTGCAAATTAGCCAAGGCTCTTGCTCTGAAATCTGCCTCAGGGGATCCACAGGTGACTGCGCCATGCATCATCCCACTACTGCCAGCTTTGTCCATCTGCGGAAAGCAACCTTTAGGGATTAACTTGGGAATCCATAGCATAAATCCCATGTTAACAAACCAACACCCTTGAAATACTACAGAAACTGAAAGCACAAGCGCTGCAGGGAAACTAGTAGGGAAGACTGTCATTGCTACAGCTGCAAGAAAAGAAACCAACACGATGAGCTGCAACAGCCCATGGTACTGGCCTTCAAGGCCAACATGGTCAGTCGAGTGGAAATGAAGCAGGAAGAGCTCTTGACCAAAAACAGATGCAGCCATGATTCCAACAACACTAGAGACTGATTCAGATATCTGATTCGACTCAGCATAGTAGGCAAAACCTGTGAAGATCGCGAGATGGATGAACATGGTTGCATGCTCAAAGTTGTCAAGCTTGAAACTAAGATGAAAAGCAGGGTAATCAAGGACTTGGAGGATGATTGCAAGGACCGAAAAAGACAGGATAAGGATGAGCTCCAACTCCTTGAGCTTCAACAGAGAATTATTGAAGGGGTACCAAAATTTCGAGATGAAATTAGAAGGACCTTTGAGACAATATGATCTGATGGAATTGATAATGTGCCATAGACCAAGAATTGTTAAAGCCAAACCAGGTACAAAATGCCCTATAAAAGTCCCCATAATTCTCTATTTTGGTAATTTTTGAGTAATTTGTTATTTTTCCATATATGTTCATTCAATATACATCAATAATGCTGCTTTTATATATAAACTTGAATCTAACCAAAGTTTAGTAATTGTTTTTATGTAACACACGTAAAAGTTGGTGCATGGTGCATAGATCTTCCATAAAGTATGAAAAGATTCCTCCCATTAGATTATCCACCTTTATAATCAAGTGGTCCTTTCAATAATAACTGTGTTAAAAGAGGAAGATTAATCAGAAACAATTAAAATTATGATCAAGTAATCTGTATTATTAAGTAAGTAATCACATAATGATTATGAAAATGTAATTATTTGCAAGTAAATTACCTTGTTTAATTGTTGATCTTTGTTTGATTATAAGTAGTATTATTAAGGTGGGTTATTAATAGGTTGATGAAAGTCATGTCAGCTCCCCACTTTGTTGTGATTTGTGATGGAAGATGACATGCTAAATATAGAGAGTGGTTTATAAAGAGTAACCCACTCCATGAGGCCCACAATCTCTTAGTGCATTAATAAGAGTCTTAAGAGATAAAAGAAATCTTGGGAAAAGTTTGGTATGAGAGTTTCTTTCAAAGTTTCAATAACTTTTTCTGGATCATTATGATTGATTGTAATTTGAGAGGGAGGGAGAAAGGAAATGTTTTTTTCATAGGGGTTATGGCTTATGAATGTCGTCGTCTATGTACTTTTTTTTTACATTATTATGGAGAAAAGAAACCTCATCGCATTACGTGTGAGTTTTGTCATGTATATTGTATAAAGAAAATTGAGCTTCATCACATAACACGTATGTTTTGTCATCAAATATATTGGAAACTTGTTAGGCCTCAAAATACGAAATAATTTTTTATTTTTATAATTGACGGCCATAAAGTTCAAAATATTTTTTCTTTTTTAAAAAAAACGAAAATTAATTGGTAATATACTAGTAGAATCGCAAATGAACTCTTATCACAAGGAAACTCAACCAAAGAAAATAAATGCCGATATGAATCACAAAGTTGTAAAGATTTCTATCATTGTCAAAGCGGCTGTATTCAAGACCTAAACTATAGGAAATCACCTCTTGGGGTGTTTGTTTCATGTGAGAGTGAGGATTTGAGCTTGTAGTGGGAAAAGAGGAAGTGATGATTCAAAAGTTTCATGTTGATTAATGGACTAAGGGACTAGCTAGGTAGAAAGAAGAAATTGAAATAGAAAAGAAGAGACAACGATTTTTATTATACAACCGGTAAGTTACAACCTTGCATTGTACAACTGTGATTGCTCTAAAAGAACAAATTTGTTTCCCGCTTATGTTCTTACATGCACAGATCAAATAATGCACATTCAAAAGAAAACCGATTTGTTCATTTATGATAATGAGCAAAACCAATCTACTTTCATATGTGCAAATGAGCAAACTAAACAGCCGATTGTAACTTGCAAGGTACAATCGATTGTATGGTGAAAATATTAAGAAGAATAAGGTTTTATTATCAAATACAAGTAGTAAGTATTACAGATTACTTTGTACTTACTATTACAAGAAACCAAACACTTTGCTAGAAATAAACCAACTCAACACCAAGGTCACCAACTATATCCTAAGTGGGTCAATTTTCAAAGTTACTTTGAACCAGCTAGCCATACTAGTTACGGAGTACAATAGTTTTCTTAACAACAAAAAAAGGGGGTGCAATACGACAATTTTTCCATAGGTTCACTAGTTAGTTATTCTTGCCACCTTGGTTTCCCTTGTTTTCTACTCCACTTTTGTTCTATCAACTCACTCTCTACTTCTCTAGTCTCTACCATGAAGCTCCGCCATTTCCGCCACCGCCACAACTTCTCCTCTCTCTCCGCCGCCTTCATCACCCCCCGGAAACCTCCGCCGCCACCACCTCCACCGGTGGCCCAATCAACCCAACAACAATTACAAACCTCAATCTTAAACTCTCAGTGGCATTTCATCGAACACCTTGCGCCCACTCTCACCCCCGCCGAAATCTCCACTACCCTCTTCAATCTCCGATCAAAACCCACCCTCGTTTCCAAATTTCTGGAAAAAATCAATCATACCCACCCCGATATCGACTCCAATTCCCTTGCTTTTGTCATAATCTCTCTCCTTCCGTCGCCAAACCCTGCTGTGCAGCTAGCAAAATGCATAATCAGTAGCAGGTTAGTAAGTAGCTCTGATTTTTTTACTAAATTGGGGGAATCCCGTGAAAAATTGAATGTTGATTCTAGCATTTGTTATGATTATTGGATTAGGGGTTTGTGTCAATTGAAAAAAGCTGAAGAGGGTTTAAAGTGTTTTAAGATGATGAATAAATTGGGGTTTTTGCCTAAGGTTGAAACTTGTAATGATATGTTGAGCTTGTTTCTTAGATTAAATTTTACTCAAATGGCTTGGGTTTTGTATGCTGAAATGTTTAATTTAAGGATTAGTTCTAATACTCATACTTTTAATATTATGATTAATGTGCTTTGTAAAGAAGGGAAATTCAAAAAAGCAATGGAATTTGTGGGGTTTATGGAAATTGCAGGTTTTAAGCCTAATGTTGTGACATATAATACCATTGTAAATGGGTATTGTTCAAAAGGTAGGATCGAAAGTGCTAGGAAGATTTTTGGTGAGATGAAGGTTAGGGGGATTTATCCGGATTCGTACACGTATGGTTCGATTATAAATGGGTTGTGTAAGGATGGGAGGCTTGATGAAGGTGTGGAATTTTTTGATAAAATGGTGGAAAATGGGTTGGTGCCTACTGCTGTGAATTACAATGCTTTGATTGATGGGTTTTGCAATAAAGGGGATTTGGAGAAGGCGTTCTGTTATAGGGATGAGATGATTAAGAAGGGTGTGGCACCAACTTTGTCGACGTATAATGTGCTTATACATTCGTTGTTTATGGAGGGTAAGGATGGTACTGCTGATAGCTTGATAAAGGAGATGGAAGGGAACGGTATGAAGAAGGATGATATTACTTATAACATTCTGATTAATGGGTACTGTCAAAGTGGAAATGTAAAGAAGGCTTTTGAACTTCTTGATGAGATGTTAGTTGAAGGGATTCAACCTACGAGGGTTACTTACACATCTCTTATTTATGTCCTGAGCAAATCGAAGAGAATGAAGGAGGCGGCTGATCTGTTTGAGAAGGTAACACGCAATGGTGTGACTCCGGACCTTGTGATGTTCAATGCTTTGATAAATGGTCATTGTGTCAATGGGAACATGGAGCAGGCTTTATTAGTCTTGAGGGAGATGGAGAGAAGGAAAGTTCGTCCTGATGAAGTCACATACAATACGCTAATGCAGGGCCTTTGTCGGGATGGTAAGGTTGAAGAAGCTCGAAAACTTCTTGATGAGATGAAAGAGAGGGGGATTTCTCCGGATTATATTAGCTATAACACACTTATTAGTGGGTACAGCAAGAGAGGTGATATGAAGGATGCCTTCAAGGTTCGAGATGAAATGTTTGATATAGGATTTAATCCCACTCTTCTTACTTACAATGCCTTAATTCAAGGGTTGTGCAAGAAAAAAGAAGGTGTTCTTGCTCAAGAACTCCTGAAAGAAATGGTTGATAGAGGCATTACTCCTGATGACAACACCTATATCTCTTTGGTCGAGGGAATTGAGGATATTGAAAACTTTATTGAAAAAGGCACGCCATAACAAGTTACCAACGGGTTTCTTGGGAGTCTGTTTCTGGTCCACAAATCCTATGTTTTGATGAAGGTCTGCAATTGGTATCACTGAATATGATGTTTCTTATTTGGCATCTAAAGGTTTGAGGAGAAACCGTTTATTCTTCTTCTAAGGGGGGGCAGGCATGATTGCTTTAAATCTGGGCAACAAAGAATATAGCCTTGCCTTGGAGGCTTGGATCATTGGATGGCGGTGGTCTCTCTGCAATGGATCAACCTGTGGAAAACAACGACCAAGCATTGCAAGCGGTCAAGTGGTGTGTACTGGTTATGTTAAAGCTTTAACTGGCTATGTAGTCCTGATACATTGGTTTGTTATCACTCAACCTCACCACAATGGAGCATACATTCTATGGATGGTAAATGTTTTCCGTACTATTTATAGTTGTGTTGAAATTAATTTGTAAACGAATATTGACATGCCAAGAGTTCTTGTCGAATAATCTATTGTGTAATACTAAGCCCTTTAACAGAACAGATCTATGCATAAATCAGAAACGTAACAAACATATTGATTACTTATTTGAAAATGCTATTAAATACTTCTATAACTTATTATACTATTCTGCTGGGGGTATGATAACTAAAGTAACCCCTTGTTTATCCCATTACTCTTCTAACTAAATAATCATTACGTAGTCGAACTAGCCGTAGTCCTTATAAACCTAGCATCAATTTGATCAAGGTCGCTGAAGTTGCCTCTTACAGCTTATACCTGCTTGTTTAATAGTGTTTATTACATGCCAAAAAGAAAAATCCCCAGTAACAACCCCACCTCGGAAGGCAGATTGACCGTACCGGCGAGCAAGATCGATATCACCGGGTGATAGAGCATGTGGTGGCAAAGCAGGTAAGGAATTTGCATTAGGAGCACCAGCAGCAGGGGTATTTCCAGGGATAGAAGTACTAACCCTACTAGTCACCCCCTCGGCCATAAAAATCAGTACAATAATTACTATAAATAAGCTTTTTGAATATGCCAACTTCATCTTCTTCCCTTTTGTTGTTCAGAGCTTAATTTGCTGCCCAGAGTTAGGCTGGATGCAAGAATACTACAGAGTTGCAGCCCTATTATCTGATGAGCATTCGGCGTCGGAAATATGCTTTTCTTAGATGGGTGTGATAGGATGGTGGTGTAATATTCATTGATTCATAATGCTACAACCAAGATTGTGATCGTAATGTGCAATGTTCATAAAGAAGGATGTCGCATTGTTGATTGCTTGTGTTGGTGTTATATAATTTAAAGTAGAATTTGGTTGGTGTTGGAGTTAAATCCTCCTAATTTGGAATAGAGAAGTTCAAGGAGAAGAACAAGGAGATGAGAGAACATTAGAACAATGCAAAAAAATAACATTTTGCGTCATTAATTTTTGGGGTAAAGGATTATTCTTGTGATTAGCCATTCAATATTTTAGGCATGCTTATTTCATTCTCATTCTCTAGTTTTATAGAGATGTGAATCCATATGATCATCCTATATTTTTTTTTCTGCTTTAAAATTTTTGCAATCGTTGCGGTTTTTGCTTTTGTGTATATTAATGGCTCAATTTATACATTAGCAAAATAGAGTATGGCGTATTTTTGTTGAATATTAGCTGAATGAAATACGACATACTCTAATTTTTGCGATCTTACAAAAATCAGAATATGGCATATTTGTTGATTAATGAACTTGACTCAATGACCCGAATCAACACCTCTTACTAATACTGTAACACGTAATAATAATTTACTACAGTTTCAATAAACTTAGCGTTAATTTGTTTACGGTGGTGGTTTATTATGCATGATCTAACAAGTCACAAGCTTACATATTCGTATAGCTGCATTATTAATCATGAATACAATACACAGAAACAATAAGCCAAATACATCTTTGATGAAATGCCCTATACTTGGCGCCGTTGGCGGATTGAGTGGACGGGCCAGCAGCAAATCGGCGGCCTAAACCGCCTCGTACTGGAGTTTGTTCGCCAACCATTGGAGGAACGGCAGTGGCAGTGGACATGTCCACGGTAGAAGTACCAGTCGCCGCCACTATCAAAATTAGTGCAGCAGTGCAAATCACTGAACTTGCAAGCTTCATTTTTTTCAATTTCTTCAAATCTTAATTCACTGCCAAAATTAAATGGATGAAAAAATATGAAAGGATTGTTACTCTTTATATAGTAAGCATTGGCACAAGAGAGTACACTTTCTTGATTGAGTGTGATAGGGAGCTGGTCATGTTCATGATGCCAAAACCAAGATTGTGATTTGCATGTGCACTGTTAGTCAAGCTAGGAGAATGTGGATTGTTTGCCGCATGCATGGGTTTGATGTAGACCTCATCAAAGTGAGCCCGACCTGATTTTAGGCGGGTTTTGAACAAATTTTCCCGCCCCGAATCGGGTCGGAATGTCCTACCTAATTCGAATTTTTACATTTTTTGAGTAGGCTTGGAAATGAATGGTATTTTATGCATTTTTAATTGATTTTTTTTTTTTGCCAGATCTAAAAAGCCCACATGGCCCAGCTAGTTTGGGCGGGTTTGGACAAATAACTTTTGGCCCGATCCGGTCTATCCTGAGGAATGAGCTGGTTTTCTCGGCCCAACCCGTCCAATAATCACCTCCAGTTTAATGCATTGCAAATTTGTAATATACAATTAAGGACATGAGAGAGAAATAACTTGATTTCTCATGTTATGAGGAGAGAGATACAAATAGTAGCAAAACTAGAAATTTTCAATATTGAAATGTCTAAAAAAAAAAGGTGTTAGAGGAAAGATTCAAACTTGGGAGCAGGAAAATGAACTCAAATTTCACCCAAAATCAACTCAGCTACAATACAATAACTCAATAACATAATGTAATGCCAATATTTAATAGATAACCAAACTAAGGGGGAGGCTACGGCCAACACCAGCGCCCCTTGAAAGAAACATTTCCAAACATAGTAAAGTTGTACCAAGAGCTGTCAATTCGGGTAGACCTGTTCAATGGGTTAGGGGCTCATTGAAAGCCCTGGTCCAGCCCTTTTATAAAAGGGTTTTACCCATCCAACATTTAAATGGAGTGGGCTTTTAAAGAGCTATTAAATAATGGGTTTTTAAAGGGTTTGGTCTAAGTTAAAAAGGGCTGAAATTGGGTAACACTTAAAATGCTTTTTTATCCTAATTTTTTTGTTTGTTTCTAAAACTTTCTAACGACAATTTTAAAAATTCCCAATTTCCCCAAATTATGAACCCTAAAAAAATCCCCAAATTCTAAATCTTCAATTTATCACCTTCTTGCTTGCCGCTCTCAATCGATTACCAAGGTATGTTATTCGATTTCGCTCAATTCTGCTTGATCAGTTTGCTTGTTTAGTTTGTTTGTTCGATTTCGCTCAATTCTGCTCTCTTTTTTATCACCTTCTTGTTTGTATGATTTTGTGAGAACATGCGAACATGCTAATGTTTTGAGATAGTGACCGCCTCTATGTACACTAATGCCACTAAATCTACAATCAATAGAATGAAAACTCCGTACTTAACCATTGACTTTTTCTATGTGATCAAACCAATTAAACCAATGTACCAAATTGATATAATATTCCGTACTTAGCTCGAAAATAGAATACAAATATGGAGGTTTTGGTAGGTTGAATATTAGCATATACTTCTACTGTTGTACTTTGTTTATACATTTTTAAATGGGTTGGGCCAGATCGGGCTTAATGGCCCATGGACAAGTTTAGCCCATTTTAGATTAGGCTTGGCCTCGCCCGTCCCGACCCATCTCATATAAAGCCCTGTCCAGCCCGGCCCGGCCTGTTGAACAGGTCTAAATTCGGGTAAACGGTCGGGTTTGGGTTGGTAAGAGTGGGTCGGGTCAACTCGGGTTGGGTCAATTCGGATTAATTCCATAACCTATGCGGATCGGGTTTGGGTTGGGTCATGCTTGAGTCAGGTCACGTCGGGTCATGCTTCTTATCGGGTTTAGGTCGGGTTACATTCGAGTCGGGTGAACAATAGGTCGGGTTTAATTCGGGTTTTCACGGGTTAAAACAGGTTAGGGTAATTCTTAGGTTCCAGTCGGGTTCGGCTCAAGTCAATAATTTGTGGGTTAGAATCAGGTCGGGTCATTCTCGGGTTCGAGTCGGGTTTGGTTCAAGTCAATAATTTGCGGGTTATAATTAAATCAGGTCGGGTCATTCTCGGGTTCAAGTCGGGTTCGATTCTAGTCAATAATTTGCGGGTTATAATCAGGTTGGGTCATTTCCAAGTCGGGTCATTCTCGGAGTCAAGTCGGGTTATGTTCAAGGCAATAATTTGCAGGTTACAATCAGGTGGGGTCATTTCCAAGTCAGGTCATATTCGGGTTCAACTAACTATGAATAGATAATTATCATTTTTATTAATCTAATTATTTCCTTTGACTATAATTATATATATGACAATATACTAGGGAACTATAGTTCATCATTTAGGAAGATAATTATCTCCTTTGACCATACAACAAATATATACTATATTTAACTCTTAAATTTGAGGATGATGCTCCTTTCTTTTGCTGGCCTGAACTGACTTGGTCTCCCTAGACAAAATTCTTTGATAAACAATAATAAGGTGGTCTAAATTTCATTTAAGGTGATTTAAAATCTAGTCAGGAACAATTTGGGTTGAATTTAGGCCGAGACAATAACAAGTTGTGTTTGATTTTGAGTCGAGTTAGTAACAGATCGGGTTGAATTTTTGGGTTGGGTTAGTAATAGGTCTGGTAAAATTTGGGTCGGGTCAATAACAATTCGGGTTGAATTTGGGTCAGGTTAATAACAAGTCGGGTTAATTGCGGGTCGAGTTTGGGTTAAATTCGGGTCGGGTTAGGAACGGGTCGGGTTGAATTCAGGTCAGGTTAGTAACAAGTCGGGTTAAATTCGGGTTTTGAAGGGTTAAAACGGGTTTGGGACAATTTCAGTTCAAGTCGGGTTCGGTGCAAGTTAATTAAATTGGTCGTTGTAAACCGGTAAATCAATGCAAGTTGTAAACTGGTAAATTGGCCATTTAAAAGCAAATTGAATGGTTCTACACACCCAATTGGATACTCGGAGGATATTAGGGACCATGGTTAACATTTCGGCAATTTTTATTTCCAGGCGAAAAAAAGTCAAAAAAATTCCAAAATTAAAGGCTAATTATCTACGCTTTTTGAGAAATTTTAGCGGTTTCGGGGACCGGTCTTGAAAAGTCTTGAAATTTTATGGGATACATCTCGGGGTCATATAATGCCGTTTGGAACGATATACGATCATTATTTGTTGTCATAAATGTTCGTGATGATAGGCTTGAATTAATGAAATCAGTACAAGTTGTAAACCGATAAATTGGTCGTTTAAGGGCAAATTAGATGGTTTCACCCACCCAATTGGACTCCCGGAGGATATTAGGGACCATGGTAAAGATTTCGCCAATTTTTATTTTCGAACGAAAAAAAAAATCAAAAAATTTTAAAATTGAAGGCTAATATCCACGCTTTTTAAGAAATTTTGCAGGTTTC